TATGTCACTTTAACTCTCTCCTTCCTTTTCGAATTACAGTAAAGTCTTCATAAATGCACAAGTTCAGTCCCGAGTTTACGCATTTATGGAGACCACAGTATTTCTCGCGTCTCGTTCGATTAATTTTTTTTTCTTTTTTATTATAACATCCACATGAACTTTACAATTTATCCCGTTAGGCGTTTGATAAATTGTTTTCTTGTTACACGTTTTTGTACTAATGTAGAATCGCTTTGTTCGCCAGACTGGAAGGCTCAACATGTACAATTTAGGTGTCCATCTGCGCGAAGTATATGGACAATTATTGGGGGATATTTTCACGACGGAAGTGATGAAAATGCATACAACAGAGTATCCACTGTCGATGATGTCCGCTCAATTAGTGAATGCAGGACTCTGGCCTCCAGCGGAAAGCCAAATATGGAACAGCGATTTAAATTGGCAGCCGATACCCACAGGTCAGCACAGAGAAAGATACGAAACAAAAAGAAAGAAAGAAAGAAAGAAAAAAGAAAAAAAAGAAAATAAAAAAAATTTTTTAAATAAAAGAAAGAATAACAAGACCGACCTGGGCAAATTTTAATTGTTATGGAAATTAAGAAATAACTAGTTGAAGTAATTTATTTCCGACTGCTATTCTCAATACAGTTATTTGAAAATAAAAATAATATAAATTTCTTTGAATTTCAATACAATAATTTCAAACAATTACTGCAATAGCATTACAAATTCTATAGTTATAAAATCAAATGATTTCATATAGTTATAAAATAAATGAATTTCATAAGTGATTAAAGGTATGAAGATAATAATGAAATCAAATAACGTGTTACTTAAAATAATATTTCAAATAATATCATTTCAAAAGTGTCCAGGTCTGTAACAAATAAATAATGATAAATTGCTCTCACTATCCGATTGTTTTTTGTAGAATACGTATCCATCGATAAAGACACTTTATTACTCGGGACGCGGTGTCCAAATTTTATTTCTGAAATGAAGAGAGTATTGAGTACACCTGAAATGCAACGTACAATGTTGCATTATTTGCCTTTATTCAATTACGTATCTAAACATTCTGGAATGGAAATAAGAGAACCGTTTGAAGCAGCTCTTTTGTATGCGATTCTCGAGACGAAGGTAAAGCGTTTATAGTAGCACAGTATTAAAAATTCGAATGATGATTCCTGGTAGTATGTAGATTCAATTCATAATAATGGTCTCTTTAGTCTGGTCCAAGCTGTTTAATTATCTTCATCGAACAATTATTCAAAGACGACAGCACGCCTGTGAGAACTTTAAATTTTATTGGATACATATACAGGGTGTCTCAGTATCTAAGTGATACAGAGCTCTAACTCCAA